GGGCCCCGCACGCGGCTGGCTTATGCCCCGAGCGACAGGTGCTGCTCCGCGCGAGCACTGTGCAGGATGTAGTGCGCTGCCCTCCACCGGGAAACCAGAGCAGCCTCGCAGTCGGGCCGGAGGGAGGCTGCGCCCGCGCTGCTCCCAGCCTGTGCCACCCTGGATCTCAGTGTCACGGGCACGAGGCAGCACAGGGGGCTTCCCAGGTTGCCCTGGCGGTGCCACCCACATGTCTGTGCCCTGGCTGCTGTGCCCAGCCCTGGTCCGTCCAGTTTCTCTCAGCAGACACGGCAGGGCAGGGGGGTCAGGCTCATTGCATACAGGTTGAGACCCCTGCCCCTCCTCTGCCCACTCGACCCCTCTGCATCCCCCTGACTGTGAGCTGCTGCAGCTGGGACCGCGTGATGGAGGCTGCCCCAGCTCTCCAGGCACTGAGTCCAGCCCCTGGCAGCCCAGGGGCGCCTGGCTCACCTCTGTGCTTCTGGGGCTGCGGCTGCTCCAGGAGAGGCGTCCAGCACGGCCTGGCCCCGAGCTCATCTGCACCTCAGGAAAACCTCACCCATGGTGATGGGAGGTGCCAGGCCAGGCGGTACAGGGCAGGCCCCGTTTCGGGGGCAGCAGGGCATGGGGCCATGACTCTCCTTGCTAGCTGCTCAGTTGTCCCTGGTGCTTTGCTCCCAGGGCCCTATCTAGAGGCTCCAGAAGCTGCACTCAGACCGGATCCCATCCTGGCTGTTTACATTCCCAGAGAGCCACTGGCTTATTTATGGGCCAAGCTGAGAGAGTCTCAGATTCCTGGCAGGGAAGGAGGATGAGGACGAGGAGCCAGCAGAGGAAATGCAAGCTTTGATTGGCAGGTGTGTCCGACATGAGGTTTCCTGGCAGGTCCCAGCAGGCTAGCGGGACAAATACCCGTGCAGGGCGAGCTCCCGTGGGTGTGCACCTTCTGCCGATTCTCTGTGCAGCTGCCTCGGGCTGTGGGACCGGCGGCCTCTCCCTGCGGGGTCGCTGTCTCTGCTCTCGTGCAAGGGGGAGGCACGAAGCGTGTCCTGGATTTGCACTCGGGGAATAAGCGGTGCGTGTGAACATGTGTAACTACACTGTGTCAGAGCGAGAGTGCACAGGACGCGCCTGCATCTGCAAACTGCATGCAATTTAACTGGTGTTTGCAAAGCGCTTTGAAGGAGGCGCTCTTTATAAGCCTCGGCCTTTATCAGATCAAGTTTGAAAAGGTTTTTCCACCTACTTTTCCTCTTGAGAAGAAACGGGAAGAAAAGCAGGATTGGAATAGATTGCGGTAGAAGATGGTCACTTAGGAGGCGCTGAGGTAGCAAAATCATGGCATGGAAAAATACCATCTTTGAGCAGGTTTGAGGTCCTTAATGAGATGAGAGCATCTGAGCATTTATAGACAGGCTCCACTTGTTGTGCTGTGTCGCCTTTATAGCGCACCTGCAGCAAGCGGAGATAAAAACAGGGCTGTGACCCAGCAGTTTTTCTCCATGAACAGCAAACTAAATATTGTGACTTGAAATACAGAGAAACCAGGGGACAGTCTGGCTTGCCTTCGTGACGCAGCTGCTCCAGCAAAGTGTGAGCAACCTGCCCGGCAGCTCAGACGGGCAGGATCTGGCTGGAGAGCTGCGCGACCGAACCTCGCCCAGGTTTAGTGGACGGTGACGTTAAGAGAGATTCTGCTTGTAAGAGGAGGCTGCTGTTGCTCCGGCCGCGCGGCGTCGGGGAATACCTCGCTTCTGTTCACACCTGGGAGGTAACTGAGAATCAGGCCAGGCTGGTATCGCTCTGCTGCGGGGAGAGGAGAACCGGGCCTGCCAACTCGTTTCCCACCCGTGTCTGGTGTTGTGCTGTGTCTCGACTCCAGAGCAAACATATTTGAGGGATAAAATATACAATGAATAATGTATCATTCATCAAATATATTATTCAATGGGCATTATTCAACTAGTTACAGGAGAAGTCAAATAATGCAACAAACGATCTGATGAATTATTTCTTCAGCCAATAACGGCATTATTAACAGAAGGCAGGATTCAATTAGCACCCTTCATTCAGCTTCAGGTTTGAGCCAGGCAGATATAAATACCTGCTTTGTTCTGGGCTTTGCCCAGTGCACACTGTGCATCTGAAGTGACATTTTGTGAGTTACTGTCAAAATAGTATTTGATATTTTTCATGCGTCTTGTTGACTTTTCACTCGGGCCATTAGGAGAAAATGAGCCCCCGGGCAGTTGTGTTATCGGTTGGTTTTGCTTTGTGCATCTCCCTAAAACCCAGCCGTTACGTGAAATGATGTGACTCACTGCACCAAGATGCTCACTAGCTAGAGCCTGCTGCATGAGAGATCGCATCCTGCCGTGTCGGTAGAGGCGCAGCCAGGCGAGCCGGAGCTGTGGTGGCAGCAGTGGCTGCAAGGGAGCAAACTAAACCTAACCTGGCTTGGGTCAAGTGAGCGGGGAACACGGGGGTTACCATGAAGCATGGATGTGGTTCTGCTGGCGCATACACAGCATGTGCTGGGCCGAGGACAGAGCCCGTGCTCTGCACACAGGGCTGGGAAGCATTTCTGTGCAGACCCGGTGAAGCCGCCTGTCCCCTTGCTGGAGAGCCTGCGGTGCGGGGACGGTGCCCGCGGGTCCCTGGAACCACGTACACGGCACTTGTGGCCTTGCCTTCGTTTCAGCCTCATTTTCCCTTCTCGGTTTCCTACGTCAGTTCTTGGGGTCCCTGGCCAGACCGAGGCAGACTGCCCTCGGGGTGCCCCTGTGAACCGCAGCGAGGCTCATTGGGTGGCTCTGGCCACGTTTTCTTTGCTGCCTGTCCTGTGCCGGGCACCTCTCGTGGTTCACCTGCCTGCCGTTCCCCCAGCCCGGGTGCAGCCGGTTCCCTCCAGCGTGGGGTGGTGAAGGTGCAGACCACTGCAGCCTGCCGGCCGCAAGCCCCAAAGACCTGGGAGGCTCCTGCTAGGCAGACGCTGGGGACGGCCTTAGGGCTGGGCCCAGACACCCCGAGCATCCATCATGGGAGCAGGCTTGAGCTCTCGGGCCCTGGCTTTTGCAGGGAGGTTGCCAAGGCCCAGGGCCGAGATGGATCCGCAGCTTCCTGCATGGGTGTGATGGTCTGGAGGGGCCGAGCAGCTCCGTGCCAGTCTCCCTTGCATCTGTCCCCCCGGGAGCTGCTTTCCTGGTCGGTAATGGCCCCTCGCTTATCTGCCTTAATCCAGCGCAGCAGCTGCTACGCACTCGGTGCTATCAGCGCCATGCAGAGCCTCCCCCAACCCTCCTTGTCCTTTCCCATTATGGGAGCAGCAGCAGCTCCCTCCCGCCTCCCGCCGGCACGAAACCCAGCACGGCCGCTCCATGTTTGGCCATTCAGTCAGCTCGGCCGAGCGTGCGGGAAGGGGAGGCCTTGCTGGGCCGGGCCGTGAGACTGTCGCACAGCCGCCGCGGGATGAGACGAGCCGAGGTGCCGCGGGGAGCGACACCCAGCCACAGCCCGCGACAGCTGCGCCCGTGGACATGTACGTGCGCTGGTGTGACGTGTCCTCTGGGCAGAGCAGAGTCCAGCAAGCCGGACCCCTGTCCCTGCTGGCCTCAGAGCCCTGTGACCCCTGGGCTGGAAGGCTGCAGGGGGGTCTCAGGTGGGGAGGAGCCGTGCCTGGAGCTGAGCTGGGACTCGCACGCTGTGGATTAACTGCTCCATGCTGAACAAGCCCTTCCCTCTCCTCCCGGCTTAGCTGGCGGGGCTGCAGCCAGCTAGCTGCTGCCCTTGCGGGGCAGGACTCGGTCAGGCAGAGGAGCGTCGGGATCAGCCATCCTGGCTTCAACTTGTGCAGCTTTGCAAAACGATGCCTGGGACTTGGTGGGACACAGGGCTCCAGCCTCATTGTCTGTGGTCCTGTATGGAAGCGGGGTCTGGACCCCGAACCCACCAGCTGGTGTCCGGAGGCATGGCGTGCGGGTGGGTTCTTTTCCATGCCCCCGCGCCTTGCAGGCCCTGGGGATTAACCCGGAGGAGTCGCAGTCCGTCGCTGCTGCAGAGCCCCATGCTCCAAGGTGGAGCTGGCGCATGCATGTGCCCAGGTGCTGCGCGGTGGCCATGCTCTCGTGCACCCATGCTGCAAGGCTGCCTGCAGCATGGTGTGCCGTGCTGTACCGTGCCAGGTCATGAGGTCAAGCGTGGTTCAAAGACCAGGAACACTGAAAACGTGAGAATGAAAGGCAGGGCCTAGCCTGTACTTGTCCCAGCCGGTACACCATGCCACACTGGGAGAGCACAGTGCCGAGAGGGGCCTCGGAGACGAAGACGGAGGCACATCCCTGGGGCCCACTGTGCCTTGACCTCTCGCCAGGAGCCGGGAAGGCTCCAGCAGCGCTCCGTGGGGCGTGGGCACCGTCCCGCAGCGGACTGGGCTGAAACCCCCAAGCGCGGGCCATTGGCAGCCAGCGTAAAGTAACGCGGGCCAGTCACCGCAGTCTGCCCGAGGCGAAAGGCTTCAGGCTCATTCCTGGCACGTGGCGGCACCTGCCTGTCCAAGGTCCTCACGCATCCTTCGCTAAGCAGGGCCCATACACGGGCTGTGGCTGTGGGCAAGGAGCTGGTGCCATCCAGAGGGAAAGGGCAGGAGGAGGATGCAGGGATGAGCCCCCTCCAAAAGGCCTGGGGTCTGCCTGCCGAGTGCTGGCTGGCTGGCGGCAGGGTCCAGCCTGCTGCAGGCGCACAGCTGCTGCGTCGAGCTGTCCTGAGTGCGGCGCGTGGTCCCGGCGAGCCCGGCTGCTGCCCGACGGGCAGGGCAGCAGCAATCTGTCTTGTTGGGGCACTTAACTGACTGGCAGAGGCAGAGCGGGCAAATGGGTGGGCAGGCAGGTGCACGCCGGGGAGGAGAGGGGAGGGCTGCCTGCAGTGGCAAACCTACCTCTGCTTCGCTCCAGTCCGTGCCCGGGTGCGCTCGCGGCTCCATCACCCGGGGCCCCCCGGCAGCAGCCACCTCCCAGGTGTCTCCTCCCCAGGTGGAAGGGGGAGTGTCTCCCTCCCTCCCTCCTGCCTTTGCCCCCGGGAAGCAGCGGGCACAGGCTCCTGCCCTTCCCTGGGTGGGAGTTAATTGGTAACTGGCGTGTCGGGGCTGCAGGGCAGCGTGAGGCTGGTCCGTGGGGCAGCGGGGACTGGCGGGGGCTGGCTCGGCAGCCTGCGGGATGTGGCTTTGGCTGGGTGCTCCTGCTCAGCGCCCCGGCCAAGAAGGCCCGTCTGCCCCCCACCCTGCCCCGTGCTCCGGTGACCCTGCAACGGGGCAGGTGCGAGCTGTGCGGGGGGCTCTTGGTGCCTTCTTGGGGGGGCCCTGGCAGGCCTGGTGGTGTCCTCTCCACCCCGTCTTTGCGGCAGTTGTGCGCTTCAGGATCTCCGCAGCTGACACCTCGTGTCCCCCCGCACGGCGCGGCACGGCTCGGGCGCTGCCTGGTTGCCGGCCGCCTGCAGCGAGCGTGCGTCGCCTGCCTGGAAGGCACCTGCAGCCTGGAACGAGGCAACCCAGCAGAGGCCTTTGAACTGGCAGATGACAGCTTCTCCCGCGGGGCGGCAGCCGGGCGCCTGTCTGGCAGACAAGAGAAACTATTACCGCTCCCTCCATCATGCCTGGGAGTGGACTGGGGGCTGCTCCGGGCTACGCTGCAGACAGCGCCCGCTTCCAGGGGCGCCGAGCCGTGCGCTGCTGGAGCTCGTGGCCAGCGCCAGCGCGTCTGGGCCGGCTCGCTGCGACAGGCCGAGATGAGCAGCAGCCGAATTGCAAGCCAAACCCCAGAGCACTAGGCCTGGCCTAGGGAGACCTCAGGGAGGTCTCAGGGAGACCTCCCCGCTCTGCATTCACGGCTGGAGCTTGCTGATGGGAAGTGGCTGTTTTGGCAACATGGGCGTTTTCCACCAGAAGCCTCTAGTTGTGTCAGTTCCTGCGGAAGCTGAAAGCTGAGACAATTCCTGCCCTTGGTCTCCGGGAAGGGCGCCAAGGACGTGCTGAAGGAGAAGTGGCCGGCCCGGCTCTGCCCTGGGTCGGAGGCTCCAGCGGCACGACGGTCGCCTCCAGCCAGCCCCGGGAATGCAGAGCAGCGGCCCAGCCGGAGGGAGCCCAGCCAGGATCCCTGTCCGGCTGCTCTGGCCTTACTTCTTACCGGTGTGGGGGTCAAACCCTGACCTAGGAGCTGTTGTGCCCCTGCGGGTCACTCCCACAGGTGAAACATGTCACAGGGGCTGAGCGAGGGATGCTGCTGGTGGCCACCCGGGTGGACGTCGCCACATCCGGACCTCCAGCCCTGGAGTGCCAACACCAGTGCCAGCGCCGCCCGGGCTCAGGCCTGGCTCCTGGCTGCGCCATGCATTGGTCCCCTGCTCGTTGCCTCAGTCCTGGCGAGGGAAGAGCTGCCATGCTCTGGCGCTGGTGAAGGGCATCGGGGGCATCTGCCTGCAGTCAGGGCGTGGGAGTGGGGGCCGGGTGCCCGGTCCACCCGTGACCTTGGGCATTCCCTTGCTGCTAGGCCGCCTTGATGGCTCGGTGCTTATAGCAGGCCTGGGAGGTGGGGCCGCGTGTCATTAATCATCCCCAGCCTGGGCGGCAGGGAGCTGGCGGGGGCCTTGGGCTGCCGGCAGAGCCATGACCTTGCGGGGACTCTGTGGGGCCGGAGAGGCTGCGGCTCACGGCCCATTCGGGTTTTAGGGCTGGGAGCACCAGCTCCCGCCCGCCTGATCCTGCTCTGCATGGGAATGTGCAGCAGTTGCTATGTTAATTGGGGCAAATTAAAGCATGCTCGGGGCAAAGCATGCAGCAGTGACCTTGGCGGCGGGGAGGGAGTCACGGCGGGAGCCAGCCAGATCCCCATAATGAAGGACGTGACCTTGAGATGCCAGCCCCCAGCAGACCCGCCGCCTGCAGTGAGCTGCTGGCCTGGCCGATGCCCCAACCCCGGCCAGGCCAGACGCCCAGCGAGTGCTGTGGCTGGGCCAAGTGGAGCCCTCGCTGCTGTTGGTGCCTCCGTGCACGGCGCTGGGACCAGCTGGCTCCGGCGGTTCGGAGCTGTAGTTCTCTGGGACAGGGCAGGAGGGGAGGGCTCAGGTTGGGCTCCTGCTTGAAATGCGCTGCGGGGATCAGGGCCCTCTCTCCCGTCGGTCTTCCCAGGCGCCGGCTCCCCTTTGCCCTGGGTCCCGGGGACGTGTGGTGTGTGCTGATTCCTGCACGCTGCTGCTTTGCCCTTGGTCCTCTGCTCTGAAGAGTCACTCTGCTTGGTCCTCTTTTCCAGCAGCCATGGAAATGGTGCTGATCTTCCTGTGCTCCCTGCTGGTGCCTGTGGTCGTAGCGGATGGTACGTACCCAGCCACCCCCTCCGCGCTCCTTGGGGAGAATGCCCTGCCCCGGGGACCAAGGCCGAGATCTTGGAGAGCTTCACCTCTTGGATCGGGACCTGGCCAGCCCCTGTGCTCAGGGTGTCCAGCCCATGTCTGCACAGTGCAGAAAGCAGCAGGGCTTTTGCTCTGACTAGGGGCTTTCCTGGATGGGAGCAGGGAGCTGCAGCCAGAGCCTGAAGCGCTCGTGCAGCTTTGAGACACCTGCGTGGAAGCACCGTGCCCGACCGCCCGAGCCTGACCGAGGCCCAGGTCCTGCCGCGGTGCAAGGGACACGTGTAACTCGGTACCCCCCCGAAGTGAGCATCGCCTGGCCGTGATTGCTCCACTCACACTTGTGTGCTTTTGTCTTTTCATGTCCAGCTGCTGATCAGGAGAAGGAAAAAGACCCCTTCAACTATGGTGAGAGTGTGTGTGTGTGTGTGTGTGTGTGTGTGTGTGTGTGTGGACGAGTGTGTGCAGAACATCCCCTGGCACAGCTGGAGGAGTGTGTACAAGCGTCTATGTGAGGCAGAGCTGCGTCCATCCTTCCGAGTGCCGCAGCCGCTGGACGTGGTTTCACCCCTTGTCTCTCCCCGCTAGATTACCAGAACCTGAGGATCGGTGGCCTGGTGTTTGCGGTGGTCCTGTTCTTGGTTGGCATCCTCCTTATACTAAGTGAGTCGCCGAGGCCGGGCGCACAGCTCCGCGAGGGCGTGGGGAGAGCCGTGTGGCTGGGGCAGAGGGGGAGACCATGGGGTAGGGGTAATGCGGAGACCCACAGGGCTAGTGGGGTTTGCCCCCATGGGCAGCTCCACATCCTGGTCTTCACCCCAAGGCTTGGCTGGGTATGCTCTGTCCCCTCGTCCTGTCACTGATCTGCCTTGAGGTGCAGTCGTGTCTGCCGAGCCTGGAGCAGCCGACCCTTGTGGCAGGGACACGGGGCTTGGCAGGAGCGCGTTGGGAGGGTGCTCGCACTGCTGTGCGGGGAGGCTGCTCCCCGAGCATCATGGTGGTCTTCCTCTTCCAGGCAGGAGATGCAGATGCAGTTTTAACCAGAAGCCCAGGTGAGTGTGCGGGGCTCCGGCCTGAGGATGCTGTGTGGCTGCCCTCGAAGGCGGTGGGGGCATGCTGCCTGCCCTCGAGGCTTTCAGACCCATGCAGACACGGGCAGGGCGTTCCCCCGAGGAGCCCCTCGGCACCGGTCCAGCGCCAAGGCCGCGGAGGGCCGGCCGTTCCTGGCGCGGGAAGGCACGCATTGGCTGCTCTGTGGATGGGGGCTGCCCGAGGGCAGAGCTGTCTGGGAGGCCCTTCCTTCCCTGGGGCATGCATCAGGAAGGCAGCCAGTCCAGCGAGGCTTAGTGCCATAGCCAGCCCCTTTGGCACGCTTTTCCTTGCATGGCTTTCCAAGCGCAGCCTGGGCCTGTGGGATGCACATGCAGGAGATGCATGCGGGGAAGGAGCGGGAGGGCAGCCTGCCGCGCTTAGCAGGCCACGCGGGACTGGACAGCCCCTCTCTCCCACGGCCGCCTCCGAGATGGAGAGCTCAGAGACCCCAGGTCACGGCTGCCCGCGGCCGGGGGGCCCCGCTCCTGCTCTCTCTCCGCCCTATCTCTGCTGCTGCTGTTTGCATCTGCTCTGCCTCCCTGCGGGCCCCAGGCGGTTGCTCTCCTCTGGGCCTGCCCGGCTCGTGACAGCGAAGGCCCGCGAGCCGCAGGGGCTGGGGTCTGCCGCGGGGGGTGGCGCTGCCCGGCTGTTCTCACTGCTTCTCTTCTTGCAGAGCACCGGGGGATGAGGAGGCTCAGGCAGAGAACTTGATTGCCTCAAATGGTAACGTGCTCGCACTCTTGCTTCACGTGGCCTCTGCCGATGCTGGCGGGGGCATGGGTGTCCCCTGGCTGGGCACAGAGCTGGACAGGCGGCTGAGGCCCCGTGGCTGAATTTTGCAAACTTTTTTTCTGTTCCCTTTGCAGCAACAGGAGCGCAAAAAGCAGAGAACTGAACTAGAGCCATGAGGTGAGGCGAGCCCGGGCCCTCCGTCCGTGCCCATCGCCGGGCTGGGGGCTGGGGTCAGGCCCCTGCAGGGCACTGTTGGGGGGTGCTGGGCAGGGCTGAGGGCTGCTTGGAGGAGTGACCACCAGACTTGCACCGCGGAGCTGCTGGCTTGACTGAGCCGGGCTGCGTGTCTGGTCCGTTCCTGCTGCCGGTACACACACCTCCCCTCGAGGAGCCTGAGCGCGTGCTGGGAGCCTGGCTGCAGGGCCAGTTGTGACTGGCTCCACTAAAGACCAGTCTGGTGGCTGAGATGCAGACTGGGCCCTGAGCCTGGCCCAAAGGCTCAGCCTGGGACCCGGGCAGCAGTGCCCAGCGCCGTCCCCCGAAGCTCTGCCCTCGGCATGCCAGGAGCATGGGCAGCTGCCCCTGTGCAAAGAGCAGCTTAAAGCAAGCGGGTGCTCAGAAATAACAGAGCCGGGCCCCAGCCTTCGGGCTCTGGGCCCCGTCCGCTGGGGTCTGCGTTTGTCGGCTGAGCTCAGGTGAAGCCGTAGCTCCGGGGCTGGGTCCTGTATGCCCGGGGCGGTGGGCACTGCAGGGTGCAGAAGACGCCCCATGCCCAGGCATTTCCTTGCCCTGTGGGCCAGTGACTGTGGGCAGGCGTCTCCCGCTGCCCCTTCCCCGGCCGGGCTGGGCTGGGCTTGCTGGGTTTGGCGTGGGGCCGCGGGAACAGGCGAAGCTCCGTTCCTCTCTCGCCTCTCCCCCTGCTCACGGCAACTCTGCGTGTGGCCAGGCGCTGACTTTCCCACCTGTGTGAGTCGGAGATTGAGGACGGGGAAATCGCGAGGGTGCAGTCCTCCCTGGCTGAGCGAGCTCAGGCTCGACACGTTGGAGCCGAAACGTGGGGTTTTAGAAGCACAGAGTCTAAATTTAGGCCTCGGAAGTGTCCGTTTGAGTGAAACGAGCCCGTGCAGCTAGTTCATCTCTGCCAGACAGACCCGCGGGTGAGATGGGGAAGGCGCAGGCTCCCGCTGCGTAGAGGGCAGGTCCATTGCACCCGGGGGCAGAGCGAGAGGATGAGCTGTCCTTCTGCGCTGCTGGGGGCGGGCGGCCAGGCTGACTCGGTGTCCCCCTCCCCGCAGACCCAGAGACCTGAGGACAGACGCTCAGACCCAACGCGAGTGACCTGCCAGCAAACAGAACTGACGGCACCAGGTCCTTCCCAGGAGATGCCAAGAAGCTGTGTCTGTGTTGCTCTCTGTACTTAACACTGGTTCTCTAGCTGCCAACCCAGCGGGACTCCCCCCGCCGTCCCGCCTGCCCGCCCGCCTGCCAGCCCGCCCACCGTAGCCTGTGATGTTCGTGTGTAATGGCCATCGCCTCTAGGACTAGTCATTGCTGCTGTTGTGTTAGTGAGTTCTTTCCCCGTTCCCAGTGCGGTTCCCGTGGTACACAGCCACGTGAGAGTGACAGGATGTGCTTCCTACCCCCTCCCGAGAGCGCCCGTGCAAGGGGAGCCGGCCTTTGCCTTCCTGTGCGGGGGGCAGAGGCTTTTCAGGGGTGTCTCTCGGCACTGGGACGCTGGGCTGCATCCTGGGGCTCCCAGTAACCTGGCTCGTTGGCAGGGCAGGGTCCTGGGGGCAGAGACCTCTACTGGGCCAGGTTTGGGACACGCCATGAGCGTGGACGGTGCTGCATAATCGACGACGGTACCATCCTCACGGTTATGGAGCCCTCCTCGCAAAGCAGGAGCTGGGTGTGTGCAGGGCCCTGGGGGAGCGCTCCCCCCCTCGCCCAGACCCACATGCATGCAGTCCCTGGTCAGGGGCCAGCTCCCTCCCTCCCTGTGCCCTCGTGGACCCGTCCTGTCCCCGAGCACTGCCTCTTGGAGGTGACAGACCCACCGGTTGGGAAGAGCACGGGCCCTGGCACTGGGCCGCTCCAGCCTGGCCACGCTCAAGTCTCGGTGGGGAAGGGGAATCGGCCGGGCTCAGACAGGCCTAGCCCCCAGCCCGCGCAGGGAGGGGGCAGTGCTCAACCCGAACTCACATCCAAGTCTCGGTTTTCCATCCTGCAAAGCCTGCAGCCAGCCGAGACGCCCAGGCTCCGGGCAGTCTCAGGGCTGGGTGCTGCTCCCACACTCAGAGGCAGCTGCAACCCTGGGCCTTCCTGGCCACGTGTGGTACCACGCCGATGCCCCTGCCCTCCTCGTGGTGCCCGTGCTGGTGCCATGGCTGTCAATGCGCGGGTGTGCAGCGTGCATGCTGAGGGCATTAGCTACGAGGCATCCACGCAGGCGCTGATGGGGGGAGCGCACGAGCCAGCTGCCTGCATGGCGCGGCCTGCACCTGCAGCCGGGGAGAGCGCTCTGGAGGCAGCCCGTGCCTGGTCCTCCTGCCCCACTTGCCCCAGAGCCAAGACCAGCCCTGCTCCCTGGCATGGCAGCTCCCGCCCGGGGCCCCGCAGGCACTGCTGGGGGAGGTTGAACCATCTCTAAGGGCTAAAGGCAGCTGTTGCAGAGCTGTCTCTCTCCTTGCTAAGCCAGGACAGGGCTCCAGGGAGTGCCATGCCCGGCTGATGCCAGTGGGATTTACTGCCGCAGCCCAGGGTGCTGGGCCCTCGCTGCTGGTGCAGCCCCCGTGCTGCCCCTCTGCCCGGGCTGGCGAAGCTCCAGGGCTCGGGGAGGGCTCCTGCCAGCTGGGGTCTGCCCCTGCACCGGTGGGCAGGGCTCCCAGCCCCAAAGGGCTTCAGCAGGGGAGGGGATGCTGTGCACTGGCCTGCGGCTTCGGCCATACGCAGCTGTGCAGAAGCGCAGCCCAGCCCAGCGCCATGCTGCGAGGGTCCCGGAGATGCACGAGCCCACGGGAGGGGAGGAACGGGGTGAGAAGAGGAAAGGAAAGCTAGCGTCAGACCCTCCAGGCAGGCTGGGGTCCGTTCTGGGCAGGCCGAGAGAGCGGCTCCCCTTCGCCTCGCCCCGCTGCGCTGCCCCAGCCTCCTGCACAGGCGAAGGTCCGAACCCCTGGCCCCATCCCCAGTGCCCGTCCCCCCGCGGCCGTGGAGGTGGGAAGCACATGCTATACATGCTGTCCACAGGCGCGAGGCCGAGCGCGTGTGCTGTGTACCCCGTGCCCCGTGCGAGCTGTCCAGGCCATGCTCTGGTCCTTCCCCTCTCAGTTATGCACCACAGATTCGAGCAGGCAAACCAGCGCGTGCCCGCCCACCCCAGCCCAGCCCAGCCCCGTGTGTTAGCTGTGTGTCCGTCACGCGTCCTGTGTTCGGAGTGACTTCGGTGTCTGTAGTGTGCAGTCGGTATAACGAGATTTCAAGTCGTCCGTGTAGAAAATGGCGAAATCTGAGTGTTGTGAACTCCAACTCAACTAGCCCAGCTGTGTGTGTTCATTCTAAAATAGGCCAACCGTGCTGCTGTGATACAGGACTGTTGTATTTTGTGCTGTGACCCAGAACCCAAGGGGAAAGAAGAATAAAATATCATTTCTACCTTAGTGACTCTGCCTGCTCTGTGCCCTGTGGCAGGCGTGGGGTCAGGGCAGGAGCAGCTCCTCATGCCGGCGGGGTCTGTGGTCCGGAGCCCGTTGGGGAGATGCTGAGGCTTGCATCTCTCGCGGTACAGCGCAGTCTTCCCCGAGCGTGTTACGGGGTGTGCCGAGGGGCATCAGGCACCTGAGCTCCAGCTTCCGTGGGGCAAAGCCTCGCCCCGGGGCACGCAGCTGTGGGTGCCTGGCCGTGTACGTCGTTCCCATGAGCAGAGCGAGGCCTTTCTGCTCCGGTCTGGATCGTTTGGACTGAGGCTGCTGAAATGCCTCGGCAGGTCGGCCTCGAGATGCTGTGCACCGCAAAGCCTCTTGCACTTCAACCTGTTGTCTTAGCTAGGCACAAGTCTTGTCTTTTAATGCAGGGGTCCCTGCAGACGGGCACTTCGGGTTCCCCATCTTGCCGAGCACGGTGCAGCCGGGACGGGGATCGAGGCCGAGGGGTGGTTGTGACCTAATTCCTGCAAAGCCCGAACCCGTGCGTGGCACAAACAGCCTCTGAGCACCGCTGAGGCCCATGCAAGCAACAGGCAGGGGAGGGGGAAGAAGTGCTTCCCTGGCTCCAGCAAACCAGGCCTCGGGCAGGTCCCTGTGCCCCGAGGCGAGGGTTTGGGATCAAGCTGTGGGCTGATCCTCAAGACCTGTCCTGGCAGGAAGGGTGCAGAGGGCTCAGATGGGCCGTGGACGGAGGCTCTGCTTCCTGCAGCGGTGGTTGCGTGCCGTGTGCCGGCCCCGGGAGTTCACCGAGCTCGGCTCCCATCCCCTCCCTTGCAGGGGCCAGCAGGGCAGTGCCGCTCCCTCCCCTCCCAGCCAGGTGTGCTCTGGGAAGCGTTGCCCTTACCCTCCCCTGGAAACCCCGGTAGCTCCCTTCTGCTTAATGGCTCTCCCGGCAGATCAGAGCTGCGGGGCCACCACCGAGGCAGGAAGGATCAAGCGGTATTGCTGCAGGGTCTGGTTTTACCTGCAAAGGCGGCTAGGTTTTTATGCCTCCTTGCTCCTGCCGTCTTGGAAACACTTAAGGAAACAGCCCCTTTGGGGCGCACGTCCCTACAACATAAAGGCCGCTTTTAAGTCTCCTTTCAGACGAGACCAGCAGCACTTGGCGACAGCTTCGCTTGCGTGCGCCGTGCGAGGAGGGGGAATCCAGTGGCCGTGAGTTACTCTGCTCGATCCTGCTGCGGCCTGCCTGGGACCCGGGGACCTGGCACGGGACCCCCAGATACCTGCCCCCCATGGGCAGCACATGGCAGGCATCGGGGCAGCACCAAAGGGCGTTTGGAATGAGCTAGTCCCACGGTGGGATGTGCCACAGGTGGGACAAATGCCAGAGACTGGTCTCCTGGCACAACCACAGGTGAGGTCGGAGCTGCCTTGGGCCAGATACTCTGCTGGCACGCGCCAGGTGAGTGAGTGGGCTGTGTCTGATTGCCACGGCGGAGACGGTGATGCTGATGGCACGGTGCGGGGGACACTGGGCTGCCTGCAGATCCTATTCATGGTGACAGCTGCAGCACAAAGCTGCTGGCACGTTTTGGCTTGGCACAAGCTGCATGGGGCGCTGCCTGGGAGCTGGAGCACAGGACCGGGAGCCAGGACGCCTGGCTCTGCCCCGGGTCCACTCGCTGCCTTTGTAACACTGTTTGACAGCACCGGGGAGGAGGGAGCTGGGGCACTGGTCACATTACTCCCTCCAGGGTTAGTGCGAGTGGTGCGGGTGCCAGCAGCAAATGTTCTCTGTGCCGGGCTGGGCGCCCCAGGGGAGCAGCCGGGCCATGGGGGAGCCGGCAGTGCCTATGTTGCTGCTTTCTGCAGCAAGCAGCGGTGCTGAGCGCCAGCCAGGCTCTGTCGGGTGCTTGCAGGCATGTAGGTGCCAGGTGCAAACCACCTGTGGTGCATCGCTGCGTCCGTGCGGTCAGAACGTGGGCACGGGAGCTGCATCCCCTGTGGTGCCCAGCAGCTGCCCCCGGGGAGGGAGAAGAGGCGAGGAGAACAGGGAGGCCTGGGCACCTGGGGTAGGGGTGGTTTGCAAATGCAGGTGTCGGAGGCTGGGAGCTGCAGGGGCTCTGCCTCTGTGGGTTGGGTGCAGAGGAGAAGCCCCAGTGCCGTGGTGCAGGTGACCTGAGACAAGCCCCAGAGGAAAGCGTTGCAGCCTAGAGCCGAGGGTCCTGGCACCCACCACCACCAGCTCCTCAGGGCCGGGACAGTCCCAGACCTCGGGGCTGCCAGTCGGTGCAGTCAGGCTTGCAGAGCAGGCGTGGGCAGCTCGTCTGTCTGTCTGTCCGCCCATGCAGGGGCCTGTGTGGCTGCATCCCGGGCGGGAGGGAGCTCCCCAGGCTGGTTCTGTCCCATGACCGCTGGGCGCGTGGCCTGCTGGTCACTGATTGACGGAGCGGCACAAGGGGTGCGACAGCCGAGCCGCGCTCGGCCCGTACCTCTGGGGCTGTCTGCACTCGGGCAGCGCGGTCCAGCACGGGGAGCGGCCCCCGCTGCCCTGCAGAGCTGTGCCCCCACTGCCTCCCTCCGGGGACCGGGGCTGGAGCAGGCCTCTCCCGCAGGCGACCCGGGTGGTCTGAAGCCCCAGCTATCCCTTCTGCCCCCCTGCCGGGGAAGCCACCCCCCTCTAATGCTGCTAGCTCTTCTCCGGGCATAAGAGCCTTGTGCTCATGGTCTGAGCAAAGGACTGGAGCCGGGAACCCCCAGGCACCTCTGCCCCTCGCTCCCTGGCAGCCTCCGGCAAGTCCCTTCACTGCTCTGAGCCTCAGTTTCCCCTCTCTATCATGGGGATGGTGCTGCTGGCCGGGCTGCTTGGTGAGCATCTGCGAGGCGCGTAGGTTGGCCAGGGTCAGCATCGTGGCCCTCCCTGCGTGCTGGCTGGGGCAGTGCGAGGTGCCCCTCGGTGCTGTTCCTTCCCCCTCGCTCTGACGGAGGTGGGTGCGAGTCCAGAGCAGGCTGCGAGGCAGGGGGGCGGCAGGGGCCGGTCCTTTCTCTGCATAGCCCGGTTGGGCCGTGTGCCTCACCTTGTGACTGGGTAAACATTACCCTGGCCGTTAATGTTTAATGGCGCGTGCACCCCGTGAAGGTGTTTTCCCATCGTGTGCCCAGACTGAGACTCCCGCTGGACACTGCACTGGCACCATGGCTGATGGTAGGGGGCTCGGTGCCCGGGGGTCAGGCTGGTGTTGGGGGCAAGGTTGAGCTGGGCTGGGCCGGCTCATGCGGGAGCCCCGGGCCACGGGGCGTGGGGGCAGGACACGGGTCACTCCTGTCCGGGGTGCTGGATGTCAGGGGTCTCCAGGAGTGGCACAGAGATGGAGGAGCTCTGGGCTCGCTCACGCAGGTGGACGGACATCGGCAGCTCTTTGCTTGCCAAGGTGCTTCCTCCATTCTCTGGTGCAGTCGGACTTGGGGGCGCGGTGCTGCACAGTCGGGGGAGTTGAGCCCCCCCAGAGCTCTCCCCCACCAGAGGGTCTGCACCGTTGCAAAGGGGCCGGGGTGGGTGATTTCCCCCTGTTGTTCCCAGCATTGGCCCCCGCAGTCAGGCCAAGGTGGCGTTGAGCAGATGTGTAGTGCTCCCGGAGCGACCCAGCCGCACGGAGACACCAGCCTGACGCCCCTCGGCAGGGGCAGCAGCCTGGGGGCTGGGGGGTCCCCAGCCCTCTCCCCCTGCAGACTGCAGCAGGGGTGGCCAGGCCCGCGGTGGTGCCAGCTGCATTGCATGGAGCCTGGGCTGAAGTGGGCACGACATGCAGCCGCTGTCTGCCAGCAGCCGGTGCAGGCTCCTCGCGGGAGCTCAGTCCTGAGCCCTTAGGGAGGCAGGGCCATGTCTTAGCCCTGCCCTGAGGCAAGGGGAGCTCCTCAAACCCCGCACCCTTCCCTGACTTCCCTGACTTGTTTAGACTCCCTCCGTCTCTCCCAGCCTCCCTGCCTTCCTGCAGCCCCAAGCCTGCCGTGTGCAGCGGGAGGGGCTGGGGCAGGTGAGGGCAGGGGCTGAGGTGCCATCGTGTTCCTGCCCTGTGCCCCGGTCCAACACTCGACGCCGAGCGCTGCACCGGGGGTGCGGGGTGCTGCTGCCGTCACACTGCTGCACCCTGCGAGCACCCCCGCGGCAGGACGTGCTCGTCACGGTGGCTGAGACCGGAGCTCTCCTGGAGCCGCAGGGCGTCCACATCCAGCTGGGAAATCTAAACCTGGGAGCCTCCGCCCCGCCAGTCCCAGGGCCCTGCAGCTCCAGCTGCCTCGTGATGGAAAATAACACGCAAAAAATAGCCGGAGTCTGCAGGGGCTCCCTGGAAAGCCCAGCACTGTCCCCAGGGTCTCCTGGTCACGCAGCCCGTGACGCACTTGCTGTGCCTTTGCTGCCGGCTTGTTCCCTCGCCGAGCCCTGGGGAGAGGGGGCTCCTGGCTGCAGGCCGTTCCCACGGTGCCCTTGTAGCACCAATGGATAATGCATTGCAGCCCAGCAGGCATTTCATTTCAGGCTCCCGAGGTTCTGTGAGCCGTGTTTACTGTGCTCAGGGCTGCGAGCGCCCCAGCCAGGCCAGGGAATGGGGCCCGTCCTGGACCGGCCGGGGTGGGGGATCCTTGCTGCGTCTCCACCGGCCCCTGCCCGAGCACTGTATGCTGGCCGCCCCCTGCCTTGGCTGCGGGCCCGAGCCGGGTACCAGCCCCACTATGAGTTGGGGGCTCGGCCGCAGGGCCAGGGCACAGCACCCGGCCTTGCCCTGAGCATTGCCCTCTCCTTCCAGAAGCCCTCCCTGAGCAGGAGACAGCCCGGTTCACCTACGGTAAGTCTCCTCAGACGGGCCCCAGCCCAGCCCCATGGCTCTCGCCCTTGTGTGTTGGGCCCCTGACAAGGGAAGGGGTCCCTGGCAGAGCAGGCGGCGGGGAGCACGGGTGGTCCCTCGGACACGGAGTATTTGGGACACCCCAGGGCACGGGGAGACTGGGGCAGAGCTCACCCAGGACCGGCCCCGCGGGCCCCGCTCCCTCCTGCTTCCCTGGGCTGAGCCCGTGGGGAGTGCGTGGGGTGCCAGGGCAGCTCCAGCCCCGGGGCCACCCATGCCCTGGCCACCCCTGCCAGGCAGCCCTCCTCACCAGGCTGTAACAAGCCCCTCTCCCCCGAGACTATGACACCGTCCGGAATGGGGGGCTGATCTTCGCCGTGGTGGCGTTCCTCGTCGGACTCCTCATCATCCTCAGTAAGTGCTGCTGGGTGTGACGGGCGGGGCGGGGCGGGGGCTTTGCGGGGCCCTTCACGGCACATCTGCCCCAGCCCCAGCCGGCTCACCCCATCGCCCCATGTCCCCAGCCCCCCCGGAGGGAGAAGCAGTGAAGGGCTGTGGTGCCGTCCCCAGGGGCCGTAACCTGCTGGGGCTGGCTGAGCACTTGGCTGAAAGAGCTGGGGGTCGTGCCAGCCAGCCCTGGCCGTGGAGCCCCTGGGCCTGGCGGCAGAGGCCATCCATGGCTCCATGGGCTGCGGGGGCAGAGCCCAACGGGGAGGGTCCGTGCCCCGGGGGCGCTGCAGGAGGATGGGGGGGGTGTGCAGAGCCCTGATCTCGCCCCTTGTTTCCAGGCCGGCGGTTCCGCTGCGGAGGCAAGAAGAAAAGCAGGTCGGTTGTCTTTGAAATCGCCCCGGCCCCTCCCTGCCCCATGCCGGGAACTGGTGTCTAACGCTGCTCTCTTCCTTCCTGCCCCTTTCCTCAGACAAGGCGACAACAATGACCTGTAGCTGCAGGTACTTGACGGAGGGCCGGCCCTGGGCTGCGGGGCACGTTGGCGCCAGGTGGGCAGCGATGCCGGGTGCGCTGTGCTGGGTTAGCAGATGGTCCTCCTGGCAGGAAGGGCTTGAGTGGGTGCTGGCGGCTCGCTGGGGCAGGACCTGGCTATGAGAGGGGTGGAAAGGAGAAGGAGGGCCTAGGAGCTGGGCTCGGGGTCCTTGGTTTTGCATTCACAAAGCCGAGCGCCAGGGTGGGTCCCGCATGGCCCTGGGGGCGCAGCGAGTGCAGAGTGTACCGGCAGGTGCAGCTCTGAACGGGCACCCTCCTTGCAGCTCCTCCCCTTCCCACTGCTGTCTCTGCAGCCGGAGCTGCCCGGCGGTCCGGAAAGAGGCTTCTTGCACTGCATCCTCACCGGGCACCATGCCCCCCGCGCCGCTGTGATGCACACACCAGCCCCTGCCTCCTCAGTGCACGCTCGTGGTTTTCCTGCTGTAGATCAGCTAAGCACCTCCATGCCTCAATAAAGCTCCTGTCTGAGACGGCTAAAGCCCATGTGCATGGGGGCTATTCCTCCAGTGTCTCTTCCCTGTGGGCACGGTGTGGCTTTGTGCCTGGGCTGGGTCTGGGTAGGTCTGTCTGCTGCTATATGCATGTGGCTGACATCTGCACGGGCACCACTGGGTTCCTTGGCGAATGGTTAGCGCAGCTTTCCCAGGCTCTGCTACAGCCGGGATGTCGGCTGTGACCCCCACCTCCCCAGCGACCGCCCTCTGAACCAAGTGGGACATGCCAGGGTTTCTTTAAGAAAAGGGTGAATAACCTACAACTTCCTCGCACAGCCTTTGTCGGGGCAGCCCCGGGTCAGCTGCTCCCCAGCACTTCTCTCGCCGTGGGGTCAGAATCGGGGCCAGGCAGGGATCCCGTGCCGCGGCTGCAGGGGAGCAAGATGGGGGAGCCGCTGGCAAGCAGGCAGGAGTGTGGGGAGCAGCTCCTGGCCCCTCCGTGATGCTGTGGGCATGAGGACGCATCCCACCCACCACTGGATCCAAGCTAAGCACCTGCTGAGATGGACCCACACAGCCTCTGGCAATCACTGTATGGGTGTGAGGGCTTGGCCAGGGCTTGCCTTCATGCAGTACCAGCCTGTAGGTGCCAAGTGGGGCCCAGAGCGAGCCAGGGCCGAGGGCACTTGGAGCGGGTGGGCTGAGCTCCAGGAAGCAGGAGCCCTGGTGCAGGTGAGGCAGGCCAGGTCCCTGGGCAGGACGGCCCTGGGCGCTGAGGCCAGTTCACCTTGCTCGCTGCTTCCCCTGGCCCCAGCTGCTGTGCGGGGCCTGGGCCCAGGACAGACGTGCTGCTGCTGCCATCTCGTGTCCAGCTGGGGCTGGTGCATCGCTCCACGCTGGCTGCCCACCCTGGCCCTGCGGGCAGTGCCAAGCGCTGCAAGTCCAACTGTCTCACATGCCCTTTCTAATGGGGCAGCAGTCCGGCTGCTGCTGGTGTGGCTTTTGCAGATGTGTGAGAGCTTCCACGGAGCTCGGGATCCCGAGACACGTTTCTGGGCTTGCTTTTCAGTATCCCACTGGGTACGGGTGTCATTGGGGTGCAGCTGTTCCCGCCATCAATAACTTTCTACTCTAAGCTCAGCTCATGGTGTGAGAGTGAGACAGGATGGACCCTGGGCCGCAGAACAGCTGCTGACCCAAAGGTGCTTGTTAATGGCCCGGAGAAGGGGCAGCTGTGTGGAGAATAATCTCTTTAATAAAGATTCACTGCATGCACCTGGTGCTCAAACACTGAGTCACCAGATGAGGGGAGCAAAGCTCCACGTCCTCCTCTCGTGCTGGCTGAGGCAGGCGCAGATGTGTGCATCTCCCCAGCCCCTGGGACCTGGTGCCCTGGCCCGGGCTCAGTGGCCATTAGGTGCTGGTGCTTTCACAGGCAGTGTGTTGTCCTCCCCGTGCCCTCTGTCACATGCTGAATGTCTCCATTGCAGTCGGACTCGGAGGCGTGTGGCTCCACTGCTTGCAGCTGTGCGGAGGCGAGAGGGTGGTCTGGGCCTGCCCACGGTGCATCCGTAGCAATGGAAAGGGGAGGGGAGGCAGGGCCCTGTTGAGCCAAGCAAACCTTGGGTTAGGCTGCTCAGATGTGGCTTCATTGAGGTGACGGCACAGTGAAGGAGGCTGCCTCTCCCTGCCGGAGCTACCTGCTCTGCTGTCCTCCCCAGCGAGAGCCACACTGCAGGCTCACCAGAGCCCTGCTGCTCCCCTGGACACCCCTGGGCTGCACTCGGGCTCCTCGTGGCCCAGCCCCCTCTGGCACTGATGGCTCCAACCTGCCCCAGGGCTGCACGTGTGTGCGCATGTGTGTGCACGTGCATGTGTGTTGCAGGGGGGGTGGATGTGTGAGTAGGACCCATGCGGGGCAGCACAGGGTGCACTAAGCCTCCACCATGGCTTCGCAGGACCATCCCTCACCGCTGCCAGGTCTGATGGGACTCGACCTGGTGCCAACGCGACACGTTCTCCCTGCTCGGGCTCAGCCCTGGCTCTGTTTAGAAGTCCAGCCCAGGCAGCGTTTGCCCACCCCGGCCCTCAGTTTGTCTCCAGCCCCAAACTCGGGTGGCACAACGGTCTGTCTCCTGCACTGCTCCTCAGGCCGGGGCAGCTTCTGCCCAGGACTTTTTCCCACGTGGCTTCCACGGTAGAGCATGGCTACAGCCTGGCCCTCCTTGGGGAACGGAGGCGATGATGTGCTCGTGACAGAGGGGTTGTGACACATGGAGGACGTGCAGTGCTGGAGCACGCGGAGCGCTGGGACTCCTCCAGTCATCGCGGAGCATCGTCCTGTCTCCCCCCGCGGTGCGATCACTGCAGACACGCAGGCATGGCTGAGGGCTCCTGCCTTGGACGGGCCGGGGTGGGAGTGCACCTAGCCCAGGCCACAGGAGGGAGGAGATGCTCCTGGGGGAGCTCCATGGTATGTTTGGAGCATCTCCAGCTGGAGGGAGGCTACAGCCTTCCTGCAAGTCCTGTGAGCCGGGCAGTGCCTGGGGTGGAGCTGGGGGCACAGTGCCAGGGCTGGGGCTGCTGGCGAGGAGACCTCAAAGCCCGCTCTGGACTGGCTTTAAGGTCAAAGAATAAGGTCCCGTCTCCCATAAGCTCCCCAGGGCCCCCATTTCCCTGCCCCAAGTGTCCTTTTAAAGACGCAGCAGAGGATGGGGCATGTGCTGGGCTGGGCTGTGGCCTGGGAGGGTCCCAGAGCCGGAGCAGCCCCGTCCCAGGCCCCCCGGACTTGAAGTGAACAGATTAGCAGTCATGGCTGGCTTTCCTAAGCAGGAGGATCTCTGTCTGGGCACCAGATGGCATTAATAGCATTATTCTGCTCTGCTCACACACACGCCTGCGCGTACGGACACGCACGCCTGGCCCTGACACAGCGCTAGGGGAAGGGATGCCCAGCCGGCCCAGCCACGAGAGCCCCCTCCACCACCTCCCACCTGGGGCCGTGTCCACATGTGAGCGCTGCGTCCCTGCCGCGGGGCCCGAGCGCAGGCCCCCGGC